TAGTCGATTTAATAGATCAATGCAATCAAAACCATTAAATGCAACACCTCATTGATAGGAAAAATTGAGCATATTATAAATGACAATTTTAAGATGGGTATGTAGGAAAAAATACATACTAACATGGATAAAAGTTGCCCCGAAAATTTATGCACATAGGTTTGACAACTCAAGCAAAATTCAGCAAAAAATGTTGGTAAAATGAGGATTTGTAAAATTAACAACAAATAGTTGGAATGAGGTGAATATTATGATGATAATTATGATGATGCTTGTTGGGGAAAATGATGAGTAAACACTACAATGACGAAACAAACAAGAAAGTAAAAGCAGCTGAAATAAAGGACATCAGGATTTAACATGAAAAAACCTGATGGCGACATCAGATTTCGACACGTGTACCATTGCCGGAGACGCAGATCGACGGCTACGATCCAGAGTCTTTATTTCTGATTTATTTGCATCTTATGTTATGAGTGTATTTTCCTTTGTTTTCCTACTTTGCCCTTGAGGGCATTGTTTCACTTATGTAGCCCTGAGGGCGTTTATGTCATTTCAGTTATGTTTATTTTGGCCTCCTTATATGAGTCATCATGCATTGTAATAATTTGAGTTTTTTTTTTTGATGAATGAAATTGACATTTCATGTTCTCTTTGTGAGTGCAAACCTCCTTGATCTTTTAGTGAGTTCGTAGGAGAAACTAGATCTCTTTGTGAGTTCTAAGTTTTCTTGTTCTACTATTTTTCCTTTATTTCTCTTGATCACTTCGTCGTCACGGAGATTTGGGTTGAAGCATTTGTGGGAGATTGTAATTCACTCTTTGAATCCCTAGATTTTTCCCTACCTCTTCCCCTCCCCCTCTTCTCTAATTTGGCCGGCCCCCTCATTGGGCTCCTCTCTCTCTCCTAATCACCCTAATAGCTCCACAAAATCAGCCCGAACTCCCTCCTCTCTTTGCCGCCCCTCTCCCCCTCCTTGGGTTAATTTGAATTTCAAATTAAATCCCACAATTAAACCTCCAAAATCTGAATTTAATTCAGAATTCCTGCACCCTACCTCTTGACCCCCACCATAACCGAATCCCCTCTAGCTCTCAAACCCGTGACCCCCTCTCTCCCTAGCTCACGGCCCACTCTCCCACTTCCCTCTTTGTCTTCCCTACTCAATCCCACCATGCATGGCAGACCCCGAATTTGAATGGGGACTTGTGTTCGACGCCCACGGTAATATCAACATCCTACGATCTCCATTCTTCGACGCGGGATTTGACCACGACGACGACACCGTTGGAGCTTACTTGGATCGGATCCTCCCCACCCTCGTGCACGTCAACGACAGGCAAAGTCCAGACTACGAGTGGACCATCGATGACCACCCACCCGCTCCTCCAATTCCAGCTTCTTCCCCAGCGACGTGTCCTCTCGGTATCACCTGTCTACTAGTGGCATCGCTGAGTCTACTTACGATCCTCTTCCGCTAGCCACCACTTTCAAGAGCGAGTGAAGGACTTCAAAGTGAAGGATCTAGATTTTAAATTTGGGGCTTTGTTATAATTGGCTATTTGCATTACCTAAATTTTTTGTTATTATTTTGCAAGTTCTAGTAATCTCCACGTGTAGTCTATTGATATTGCTTATTCTTTCAACGCCATATTCTTAAAACTTTAACGTGAGAAAACAAAGGGTTTTTGGTAGCAAAGTAAAGTTCATCACTTATATTAATATCTTAATTGCAATTCTTGTTTATCGCATTTAGCATCACATCAAAACCTAAAATAGGAAAAAAATCATGGAGTCACACCACAACAAGAAATTCACTATGAAAATTAGGAGAAATAACTACAAATCTATGATGCACGGACACGGACACAGCGACACGGACACGGGACACGGATTTTTTTGAAAATATAGGACACGGGTATGGCGCGGACACGGCAATACATTTTTTTATATAATATATATATATATATATATATTAATGTAATATCATATTAAAAATGACAAACAATAATAAATGAATGACATGATAACTTGGCTAGCTTATAATATAAAATATTTAGTACAAATTATCTAGTACAACCACAAAAATATAAGCAAATAATCACTTACTACAACATCAAGCATTCAAGCTTCAACTACTATGATTAGCTTTAGAGTTTTGTTTTTGGCCTTCAATATCATCATCATTGAATATCACTGCTTTCAACTCTGGTTCAACAAGAGAAAGATTTGTAATTGTGCAAAAAGAGATGAGATGAAAATATCTTCACTGCCAAAGAGAAATTAAAATGAGAATATTCGATGAATGGGTATTAAATGCAGACGTTGATTTGGTGTTGTGGATAGGAAATAAGAAATTTAGTTTAAATCTCGCCAAATAGAAGAAATTATATTTTAAAAAAATTATAAAATATTTAAGATACGCGTGTCGGACACGCGTGTCCAATTTATTTTTAATATTTTTTAATCGGACACGTTTAAGGCGTGTCCGACACGTGTCGAAGGAGTGTCGGACGAGTGTCGTGTCGGACACGGTGTCGGACACTGCACGCCTCTTTGAGGAGAATTGTCGGTGCATCATAGCTACAGATCTCTCTCTCTCTGTCTCTCGCTCGCTCTCTCCTTGCTTCTTTTCTCACATGTATCGTTCTCAATGTCTACACATTGAAAATATAAGAGAAAGCCATGTAAAATAGCCCAAGGGAGCAACCCTTCAGAAAAATGAGAAAGAAAATCGTCCAGTTCATCTCGCAGCGTTGCAGTGTCAGTTTGAGGCATTGCAGCACTCAAACCTCTGTCTTGATCCGCTGCGATGTCGTATCTATTTCGTTGCGGTGCTTTGCTCTCTGTAGTTCAGCGCTGGGGTGCTCGGGTACACATCGCCTGGGCGCTTCGGTACATAGTGCTTGAGCACTTGGGCACACAACTCCAGGGCGTTGTATGGAAAAAAAATTGGGTAAAAAGCACCCGAAGCCAAGCTTTGAAGTCCGAGACAACAAAATAACCAGATTGATCAACACAATCGATTACACACATAATAGATGATGTTGTTTGGGCAATGAATAAGTTGTGGACAACTAAGGAGGGAAACTAAAATGGGATTGTTAAAGTGAATGCCTATTAATGATAAGTTAGAAACTCTTATATTATTTAAATAAATGGGAGTAATAGATATTGCAGATAGGGTAGTTTAAAAAATAATTCAATGATTTTGGCATGGTATGTAGAAGAAAAGTGGAATCAATAATACGAGCAGATAGAATGAATTTGAAAGGATTAGGGAAGAAATGAGCTAGAACAAATAAAATGAAAGTTATGCAAAAAAATCGACATAAAATTAAATTAATACATGTAACTACTCAATAATAAAGTATTGAAAGGAGGAAGGTGATTTATGATGTTGTCTAATATTTAAGTTATAATAAATAATTGTAATGATGATCAGGTTGTTTGAGAAGTGCATGAAAGTATGGCATAAAAAGAGGAGGCCATTGTGTAGATTTTTTTGCATATTCTATTTGTGCATCCTTGGTTGTGTGCATGTTCTGTAATGTGAACTTAATTATTTAAGATATAAAATGATAACAATGATGATTAGGGGGTTTTATAAGTTCTTGAAAAGATGGCTTAAAAGAGACAATTATATAATTGCCGTGTGCGGGTTCCACTTATGCATGCTTGGTGAGAAATTATTAGGTGTGGACTGCATATGTGAGCATACACGCGCAAGGCCGTGTACTTGTTGTGATTCCATTTTATTGGAGTAAACAACGATTCAATGAGTGCATTACTGTATACTCAGTATGCAATGAGTACATAATGGTGTATTCTCACTTTCCGCATGTAGAGCTAAGTATGTAGTATTCACCTAATAATTCTTCATGTTTGGTCTGGGTCTTATGTATAATTTACTAAATGTGTGAGTGCACATGTACATGTCTTTGTGGGTATGGAGAATCACCATTTCCCTCCCATTTAGATTTCAATGTTTAAGGTCTTTACCTATTAGATTATAATCATCCATTTTTTTTACACCATTAAAACTATTGTCTTACACGGTCATTTTAATAATCAATTTGGTGCATTAAAATTTCTCGATGGAGGTCTCCGATTGCATGAGATGAGTAATGCGATTTTAGGGTTTAGTGAATTTCAAATGATTTGGAACTAAATTCTTACGTGGTTGATGACATTTAGCATATATTGGGTGATTTGATTGGTAAGTTGCATGTGTATTTTGTGTTCCATTTTCTGTCCCTTTGATAACCAGGAGCTTATGCAAGTTAGATGTGATGTTACTTTATGATATAACTGCGTGCAGGCTTTTTTATTTTGGAACTCGTTACCATGTCACACAAATGGCTGTTCTGCTAACTCCATAAAAAAGTATTAAATAGAAAAGAAAAGGATATATATATGCTATTAAAAATACTCATACATGAAGGCAACCAAGCATGTTTGTTGTGTGGTTGTTGTGATAGCATTTATTTCGTTACTTTATTCTTTATCAATGAAAATTTATTATTAAATTTGTATTTACCAGTTTTTTAAAGGTTCACGCTTCTAAAATTTGAGTAATTTTATGCATTTTTTCTTCATTGCTTTTCTTTTTTGTTGGTGGAAGCAAGATATAAGAAGTCGAACCCACTGTTTTGGGCTTCTTTTACTTGCTGTATAAATTTTTTTTGAAATGTTATAATGTTATACTCTGGGACTAAACTGACCATATACAAATAATTGGGAGACTATTTTGAAATTAAACTCTATTTTCTTATTAATTTATGTAAATAGGAAGATATATGTGTTAATGCTGTGCACCTCCAATATGACATGGGTAGCACTTCGTATGATGAGATTTAATTTAATATTTGATAAACTTTAAATTAGTCTTAGATGTCTTTTGAAATTAATAAATCCTTTATGAAAACATTAGAATTTACATATGGAAGAGTGGCACAGTTATGTTATTCTAATTTTTAAACCATTTATCTTAAATTCAGGTCAAGAATTTGATTACTTGTCGTCCTGAGGATGAAATCCCTGTTAAAGATGTTACTATCCGAAAAATTCCTAGGTATGGCTTTTCTCCATCAATAGTTCCAATTTCAAATGTTTTTGCCCTTCAACATATCTGCCTGAGACGAAGGTATTGTATGAGCTATGGAGCTTGCATTCCTGCTAGGAAATATAATGCATGTTGCTCCAGGTTTTTTTAGTTAGTAGTTCTTTTTTACATTGATCCAATATTTGCAAAACCTTTATTTTAGGTCCTTAATGCTCAATTGAAGCTTCAGTTGCGTTTGATCTTTCTATATGTTTCTGAAAGCCAGAACTGTTAAAATTTTATTTTCCATTGTGATCATAGAACTCATATTGTGAAATGCAAATTAACGGACTCCTGGATATCAAATAAATCTTTTTTTTTTTCGGTGGATACGCTGCCAGATTGCAAAGAAATCTAAGTCTTGTAGATGGATGTGCCAACAGATAATAATTCATTCCATGGCCTCCCGTACCCTCAATTAGCTCATTGTGGTCATGTGTGGGGACAAGTGGGAGGGGCGGGTTGTCCTCTTATACCATTGGTGAACTACTTCTTGCTGTCGAATCCTTAAATGGGATGCTTCAAGAGAGAGATTGGCTAAAATAAATGCACTTTATTGGGTATTTTTTTTCCTTTTATCAAATGCAAGAGTATAAACAGAAGTATAGATGTTGGATAAAGACACTAAGATTGAGGTTGAAGTTTTTGAAAAACAATATATAATTTATAATGCCTTCGATGTGAAACATCGCATATACATGCGATAAGAGTTGCTTTGGATTTTAACAATAGATATTGAACATGAATTTTTCTAGCTAAGAACTTATGTTTCACCCAAGTCAAATTCTTAGAATTTTTATTAAAAGATTAAGTAATGACAAACGGTTACAAAGAGATTAGCAAGACAATCGTAATAACACTGAAAACAAAATAGTAATACCAAAATAGTAACAAAATAGTAAAACAAAATAGCTGTTTGGTTCCTGTGGCTGGCTGGCTGGTTCCCGTGCCTTGGTCCTTTGGTTCCCGTGGATGGTTGTTTGGTTCCCGTGGCTGGCTGGCTGGTTCCCGTGCCTTGGCCCTTTGGTTCCCATGGCTGGCTGCTTGATTCCAATGGTTGGCTGCTTGGTTTCCGTGGCTTCTCTTCTATGTTTCCTGTACCGTATGGGGGCAGCTGTTTGGTGGCTGTTTGGGGGGAAAATTCCATGGGATTTTCTCTGTTTTCTGTGCAATTTTCATGCAGCAGATTTGCTATCTTTTGGTCTTCCGTTTGCTATCTTTTGGCCTTTTTTTGTGTCTTTTGGTCTTCCATATTCCCTAATTTGGGTGGCTGTTAGGCTGCCCTCTTTGGTTTTATAAGTAGGAGTTGTTTTATGTTAAAAAAAGAGTTATGATGAGATTTTTGGAGCCAAAAACCTGAGGGTTTTTTCTTCCTTCTTTGGAAAAGCTTGCGAGCTTGTTCCAACCCTTCTCCTTCTTCTAGGAAAGCTTGCGAGCTTGTCCTTTCTTCGTCTAGTCTTCTAACCTCTTTCTTCTCTCCACTAGTGTCATTCCATATGTATCATTCTTCTCAAGGCAAAGCTTCTTTAGGTGTTTGTTTTATTTCTTAAGTTTGTAAGTCCTTTTTTAAGTGTCTTGTAAGGTGTTTGTGTTTGTAAGTGTCAAAGTTTGTAAGCGTCTTGTAAGAGTCTTTATGATATAAAATGTGTCTTTTAGTATTTTGTGTCTTTTTGTAATATTTTGTGTATCTTCTGTTATCTTCTAATTTATAGGAAGAGTATCTCTTTTGTTAGCAAAAATTTGGGGCGCTCTCCCAAATTTTTGCTTGCATCAGCTATGAAGGCTGATCTCTCATCTCTGGACTGCACTACCTGGGAGATGACATTTTTGTGTCAAATGAAGACTATCTATTTGATTCTAGATAACAATGAAGGCTTCCAAAATTAAGATTCATCTGATCTTTTTAGTTACAACAATAAAGGCCTATTTTATTTTATTTTTTTGAAATTATTATTATTATTATTATTTTTTCACTTTTACTTCTCGGTTTCAGAAGAACTGAGACGAGTCTTAAGGGACTTGGATCAAGTAGCTAGGGCACGCACGCAAAGAGACTTCGTCTCCATCACGTTCGCCAGGTTCCACCCGCTCAAGTCCTTCGACTTCAGCTCCTCTTCTCACCCACGCGTCGTCCTTCCTATACTCAAGAGGAGTCGACGGCGGTGAACAAACCTATGATGGCCCATTCGGCCTTCCTTCATTTGGCACCGACCAAATTCCAGAATCGCAGAGGAGACAACGTACAAGCTTTAGCGTCAATGAAGGCCTAACAGAACCTCTTCAGCGGCGCTTTGTTTGACTATGCGTCGGTTCTTCGGCTCCTTCGTGGCTGATCGACTACGCTCCTTCGACGTCGTTGTTGTTCGGCTTCGGGTGCGTCGTTTCTTCGGCTCCTTCGTGGTTGTTCGACTTCACTACTTCGACGACTTCTCCTTCCTGTCGGATCGGAAGTTACGATACTTGGATCGGGATGTCGGCTAGGGCTTCTTTCTTCGATAAGGCTTTTGATTTATTCTTCTTTTCTTCCTCCGACAATCTATGATCCACAATGAAGCCCGTTGGCTCTGATACCATGTTATAATTCATATAATTTGAGAGGGAAAAAAATATACTTCTTATTATTATAAAAAATTATCCCTATTTATAGATCTATACAAGATGTCTTAATAAAGAAACAAATAACTTCTAATTGATACATAATCGTCTCAATATAATCCTTCCTAATTCAGCTACCCAAATATAGAATGAGATTGGCTTGATCCAAGTGAGCCTCCCACGGATTCTCATCCTGACCGTGGGATCAAGTGCCAAGGGATGATTGAGATTTTGACATTTTCTTCTTTTGATTGTATTATTATGAGATTAACACACTTCATACCTTATACAGTATTCTAATGAGTGCTACCAGTACAGTTCTTGTTAACTTATGAGGCAGATCATTGCCTTCTCACACGTGACTATCAAAGATGTATGAAGTTTATTGGTTATTTTTTAAGTTCCACTACCAATATCCGTATAGTTTTCTCCTTTTGATTATATTTATTACGTGATTATCATACTTATACCTTTTACAGAATTCTTATGAATTTTAACAGTACAGTTTTTGTTAACTTAAGAAGCAGATCATTACTTTCTTACTGTTTATGTGACTATCAAAGCTGTATGAACTTTATAGCTTATTTTTTTTAGTTGGACTACCAATATACCAATATCCTGATAGGTTTCTCCTTTTGGTTTTTAAATTTTATTTATTGTACTTTGAAGTAAATAAACAAATATATATATATATATATATATTCTAATTCTAATTTTGGATTTTGTTATGCTGTTACACACATTAAAAAACCTAGTGTCTTTTGATTCTTCATCCAGGGTTTATGACGACCTTCCTCTCTATGACATTCTAAATGAATTTCAGAAAGGTCATAGCCACATGGCTGTGGTTGTTAGATGCATGAACGCTGAGGCAAGCACAGAAAGAAGAAAGAGTAATTCATCTGAGACCAGAAAAGATCATAGTAAGAGGCATGGGCGAGGTATGTGCTCTCCTATGGCAATCCTTATTATCTCTGGTCTGAATATCACAGAACTGGATGCTCTATTTTTTCAGATGGATCTCAATCTGCCCTGTCTGAGCATATCACTATCACTGTAAATGGTTCTCCTGTGAATCACAGTATAACTGAATCTCGTAGTTCTGCACCGAAAAGTATTTTGGAGAGACAGGGGGATACACGCTCACAATCTAGAAGATCTGATCGAGGGAGGTATGATAATATTCTTGACATTAAGGCTGAGTCTCTTCCCAGCTATCGACTTGATGAGGAAGTTGTGGGCATCATAACGATGGAGGACCTGATGGAAGAGTTACTACAGGTTTAAAATCGTTTAGTGGCAGCTGTTTTTGACTTTATTGTTTATAACATTTCATAAGATTACACTGAAAACATGGATAATTACTAGCTTCACCTTGTAGGAACTTTTTGTCAGAAAGGAATGGGGAGATGGGATGAGTAGTTGAATAATGATAGTTTTAGAGTTACTTCTTACAATTGTAATGTTCATTTTTCTTATAATAAATAATAAGCATTTCTTGATAATAAATTATCTCTAGGTATATCGCAAGCTTGATATTTATGATTAAGAAGCCTAATCAGTCTATCTTAAATTCATTTGATAATGACAAAGATCCTCAAAAATTTTTTCATGTATTTCATTTCTATGACAGTATGTCACTGGGAAAAGAAACTTTAGATCCTTCTTAGGCTAATTTATACTCTGCGGATTCTGCATGAAATTGTGCAGGCTCAGAAAAACTTTACGACGATTTAGCTTTGTTGTGATGTTCTAAAGACATAAATTAAGTGAGAATAGAAATGAGTTCTGTCAAATGGTTGCCCTAGCAAATTTCTGGTAAATATGCCTGTTATTTGTCTTTTAATTTCTTTAGCCTTTAGGGTAATGTTGGACTGTTACTTGCACAGAGGAAGACTTTAGCTTGTTTTTAAGTTCTTATTATCATTCTTAAAGCTAGCATGTAAGGCTTCTAAAACTTTCACTTTGAATTGCTTCTGAAGGAGGAAATATTGGACGAAACTGATGAGTACGTTGACGTTCATAACAAGTAAGTCTTTCTGTATGTACTCAGCAATTACGTGTGCTTTTTTTCGTTTGATTGTCTGTGAATTGCCATTTCATGGATATTTTTGTCGATTCCTTGACAGGATCAAGATAAATATGCTGCCACCAAAAGGGTCATTCTCTCCAAGGTCATTGGGACCTCAATCTCTCTCTCAATTCCTACGACGGAGCCCAATAGCATCTCCACTCTCTTGCTATCATAGTTCATCTAACTTACGTTCACCTGATTCCTTTCATGTTCAACCTTCTGGGTCAACAGCAACCATTTCAAGTTCTCTTCTTAGTGCAGTGCAAAGCTTGCCAGATGAGGGTGAAGGCATCAAGAGCGGTTCTCCAACTTCTTATCAAGTAAGTGCTGTGTTGTTTGTTTTTTTGTCAAAATCTGATATGGTCCTTAATTTTGTGCTAATTAAAGATTGATTAAGTTCTGAACATCATTTGGTTGCACAGTAGTTTGCAACTTTAGATTTTAAATCTGAAGGTTTTGACGCAAGAATATTCTCTTTTCTAAAGTCACAAACCTTTTTATTCTTGATTTTGATGTTTTAATCACCCGAGAAAGTCAAAATGTTGCTGCCCAAATGTTTTAGGGGTCAGTTGGACCTTAATATCTGCCATTTGATAACCTATTTAAATTCGACTGATGCTTCAAATTACAACATATTAGGACATCTAATGTTTGTTGACCTTTAATATACATTCCACAATCACGTTGCGAGGTGGTACATATCTAGATGTTTTGTGAAATTACTCAAACGTCGTCCTTCTACGAAACAGAGAACGCCCTCATATTCATAATGTCAAAATCATCAAAGAGACACCCTTCATGTGTGTTCGATTGGATGACAAAAACGACGAACTAATAGCACTATGTTGCACGAGATCACTCTAAAGACCTTTGATCGTAAAGAGGATCGTGTGAGAATGCTTCGTGGGTTAAATATTAATTTAAATTGTAAGTCCAATCATTCTTTTTGAACGGACTGGAGTTGACATGACTTGAATTAACAAGTGAATATTTGATCTTAAAACTCATTAGGATGTTTAATTTTACGTTCACATTAGACTTTCAAGCCCAATTAAAAGAAAGTTTATTATAAAATACAAGCCCTCGACTTCAACATTTGTACAACAATTCACAACATCAGTAGTTGAACTTGATCCTTTATTGATGGATAGACGGAGTTAACAAGATTTAAACCATGAAATAAAATTGCTAAAAAAAATCAATGATGGTTGTGTTGGATGTGAATATCAATCGAAGGGGACTATGCCTTTTTAAATGCATCTAAGCCTTGCAGGATACAAATATATTTAAAGTGACTTCAATTAGGGATTTAGGGGTGTCAAAATCTGACTCCACACAGACCCAACTTGAAAAATTCTGGATTCGTGTCAACCCGTTTACTATACGGGTTAGGTTTATGTTTAAATTTTTAACCCATTTTTAAAACTGGGTCAGATTCAGGTTGACCCGAAAACCGAAATCAACCTGATTGACCTGAGAACCAGCGACCTCGTCTCGTCGCTTCAGGCGAGCAGTCCAAGCCCGTGCTGTCTTTCTTGTCACGTCAGGTCACATGCGGCCAGCCGTCGCTTTCCTCCAGGCTGCAATTGAAGGTCCCATACTCCCATTGAAGCTCCTGCCGTCTAATGCCCCATCCAACAACTAGTTTAATAGTTTTTCCTGCTGTCACCAGTCCCACCACTGGCCACTTCATCATTATATATTCTCTTCTAAATTAAATATTTTTTTCATTGGTTGTATATTTCCCATTATATGCTACATACTAATTAATCAAGTGAGGAGTTGAGGTATAGGCGTACAACTTTCATATACTTAAGTTGACAATCAGTTGATTAAGCATTAATAACCATTCATTAATTAAAGTCATTAGCCTCACACTACTGTTTTGCTGCAAGCAACGATTTTTTAATATTATATTATTATACTTCCCTTATTAATTCACATTAAAATAAACTTAGATCTATTGATTTTATGACTGTGTCGTGCATAATCAGTGACTCGTTTCGTGCGTGAACAGTGACTAGCGGGTGCGGGTCGGGTAAATCCGGTAACTCGCACGGGTCGGGTCCGGTTGAAAATCCTAACCCATTTGCAAAATCGCGTCGGGTTCGGGTTGACCCATTTAGATTCGGGACAACTCGGATTCGACCCGAACCCGACCCTTCAACCTATTTTGACACCCCTAACTTCAATGCCACCTTAATAATGATTGTGTTGACAGAAAATCTTAACCTGTGAGTTCTACTTAATTTTCAAAAATGCTTTTAAATCTCAAAGTTTCGAATTTGGGGCTTATAATTTGATAAAAGTTATAAATTCATTATCCCCAAAAAATTTTAACATTTAAAGTAAAATCGATCACCGGAATTTGAAGTGAAATTTATTCATCTTTTGCAACCATTTGCGAGTGATAAATTTGAGAATAACTTTAAGCTCACGAAGAGCGAATGCTTAGTCGAGCGTATCACTAAGATTTATTCAAAAACAATCTCTCACCATTAAGAAGTGACACGCTTCCTCTAACCTGTGGCTTTGATGCCAAATGGCATAACATGCAAATTGTTTTAGCCGGGGTCCTCTTATCAAATTGTTTTGCAGCAAATGGACACTAGTAAATTACGGTCACAACCAGAGCTCATATTTTCCCCAATGACTCAAAACTCTTGCATAATGAATTATAGGGTATACTTGATGTGGCACAAAGCCTTCTATTAGCTAAGATTGACTTGAATTTGTCCCCTTTAGACAAAGTTACCCCAAGTCTACAAGATACCCTTCGATGAAGAAATCCATGGCTACTGACAAGATTCCTTCAGTTAGGGTAGATAGCCTCCTATTACTTAGTAGATTATATATTGCAATAGTTCAGGATAACGGAGCCATGGGATCTTAATCAGGTTTGTCATCATTTCCTTAACTATCTTCATTAAGTGCACGATGATAAATTTCAAACCCAAAAAATCTAAATCCAAATCCTAAAACTATTTCTATTTTTATGTTAGGCATTTAGTGCTTATCTAACAATTAGTCTCAATCGAAAGTTTTCTCTTATTATTAGGAGGGGTTATTAATTTAGGAATTTACGTCTATGAGAAATCAGAAATCAGATTATAAAGTTCTCACGAAAGGAGGGAGAAATCTTTGGGTAGTATCTTATGTTTTAAATCAGCTTTCTGAAACTTATCCCGAACATCTTTCATTAAAACTCTCCTCGAAAAAAGCACCAAGCAGCTGAGGCACAAATTTTCGGAACCCAAAATTTTTGTTTTAACAATACATACTAAAACCTCGAGGCTTATTTCAATAAGCCATTTAACTTTATTTTTTCTCATTTATTTTTGTTATCTCTTGGCATCAAGTAGAAATCCTAGCTTTGATATTATTTATAGTTTGAACTCTTAATGATTGACTTAATGAAATTCATAGTTTTTTCCTCATGATACAACTTTTTAGATATCATTAATTAACTCTGAACTTCAAACATTCGTGCATTATCCACTTTGGCCTAATAAGCTAATCGATTTTGTCTTTTTGGTGTAATTTTTAAAAAAGTTCACTTATTATAGGAGCTCAGTATATTTTTCCCATTTGAATCTTATTTGTTTCCTGTTTTCTTCTCTCTTGTTAGGGATTATTTGGATTTCTCAAGTATTTCCTAACAAGTACTAATGAATAATAAATCAAATTCTAATATATTAAGTACAATTGAAGCATAAAAACAAGTGTCAAGGAGTTCGACCTTAATGATGAAGGGTATGTTTATCTTTTAACCAGTAAAGAGTTACCCACCTAATGAACGTCACAGGCTATCCAAACATATTGATTATGATGTTCATCTTTTTTACTACAAAATACAGTGCTCCATATATCCTAGATTTAAAAGAATCTTAATTAATTATATATTTAATACATTGCACATCAAAATATTAATGACAAAAACAAGTTAAGCATATTCCTAAAATTGTTGATCCTATGAATTTCATTTAGTTTGTACTTCATAATCAATATTGGATAATCATGGGAATATTATGATCCATTAATCTTTTTATAATGATATTCTTAAAATTTGTATTATTAGAACAAACCCATTAAACATTTTTTAGCAATGCACGTTCTGATATCTCTTATTGTAATTTTGTAATTTATATAAACGTTGACTTTCTATAAATTCCATCCACCCATTATTTTATAGTTTAAATGTATATAGCATTTATGTATATAAAGTATATTACAATTAATTAATATTTTTTATTTTTAATTAGGGATATATATATATATATATATATATATGCATTCATTTCTAAAAAAAATTAGATTCACTGCTTAGGATTTATTATCATACTATTACTGCTTTATCCTTATTACAAAAGAATAACTAAAATAAAAAGCACCTCCTTTGCTCGACTCTCTTGGCCATGAGCTTCACTTGTCAATGTCATTCATCTTGCCTGCTCTAGTTATTGATAGTCTCAAAAGTTGAGCATTGCCCCCATTATTTTTTCTCACCTTGACTCCAAGCCCTAGCTGCAAAGGTAGTTTGTCCTTGTCGCCAAGCATGTTTGGCGCCTCATTTTTTATTGGTAGTTTGCAAGCATCTCGGCCTTCTATTTAGTGTTGTCATCGATCTTGACGGCACCAGAAAGCTTGCCTTCTTCTTCCCACGTGTCTTGCGCCTCTATGCTCTCGCCTCCTCTCATGCTTTCACCTTTCATGGCGCTCTAAATCTCAATGCGAAAAATGGCAGAGGAGAAAACAAGTTGGGATTGATATGGTTGAATCGGTCTCGTCTAAAAGAAAAAAAAAAAAAAAACATGGGTTCTCAAATTTGATCCCTATGAGACAAAGAGCCCTTGCCCTTTTTTTGGTTGCAACTTTGCACCCGCTGATTTAAATCTAATCTATTATTGATCCTCAAAATTTATCCCTATTGAATGGGAAGTTCTTATTTTTTTCTCTGTTCTATTTACTATCTTCACATTCGAATGCCCATATCATGTCTATCAACTCTCTAGACTAGAAGCAAAGCTATGCATTACTTCTATCACTACTTCCATTGGTTCATTTTTGCACCACGGTCCTTAATATTTCCACATCCTCCCTCTTTGAAAAGCCCCACTCATTCTCAATCTTCTAGGGCCTTACCTTCACCCAGCATAACTTGCATAATAGGCAGAGAAATGGGATATATTCAGATTCGGTCAACCCAAATAGCGGAACCATGTTGATATTGATTTATGAACCAGCTCAACCATATCTCTTTGTCGTTTTATTTACCAGGTAACCTTAACTCAAGCTTGGAAACTCTACTCTCTCCATCAAG